GAAGTTATTTCGTAAACTTCTTTTGTTTATAACTTCTTAATGAGTAACGTCCTGCAATTAAAACTTCCTCAAGGTCACTCGGGGTCATGACCTTGACAATATATGTCAAGGTCAAGGTCATTGGGGGGGCTCCCCTAATCTACATATTTACCATTTATTTTTATGTAAAATTGAATATATGCTTTTATTTATTAAAATTCATATAAATCTATTTGTGACTGAGTACACTTACTATTCTCATCTATGACTCTGGCACGCCAATTATCTGCTTTACTATAATTCTCTTCGTCGGACTTCCGTTTCCGATGTGATAGGATAAAGTGGGCGATTTGTGAATAGACGGAGCAAAAGGTGAAAGTGAAGAGAGAGAGAGAGAGAGAGAGAGAGAGAGAGAGAGAGAGAGGGATGAAAACGTGTTAGAGAGTGGTGATGAAAGAGAGAGTAGAGGAAAAGGTGAGAGAGTGTGGGGAGAAAAGTGGAGGAAAAGGGTTGTGGACGGGGAAGGGGATAAAGAAATAAGAGATTGAGATTATGGGATTTGTTCGGTGTAGGGCACGTGGCTCGCGATGAGGTGGAACAGAGCTTAGGAGTGGGTGGTAAGGGCAAGTATTATATATTCGGTAGAGAATGGTGAGGAATAGCGGGTCGGTCCTAGATATCGAGATATTGATAGGTTAAGCCTGTTCGAAAAAGATAAAGCGCAAACGAAGAGAGAAGGTAGATGAAGAGTGAGTGTGAGAGAGAGAGAGAGAGAGAGAGAGAGGAAGAGAGTGAAAGGAAAAGAGAGAGAGAGGGAGGAAGAGTGAGTGATAGATGACGGATAGAATTAGAGAGCTGACTAAGGATAGGTGTGGAAGTACAGGTGAGTTAGCGAAGTTCCTAAAAAGGAAAAGAGAGGGTGAGGGGGGGGAGGGGTATTGGAGGAGTAAGAGAGGATAGAGAAAGTTTTTAGGAGGAGTAAGAAAACGATAAGATCGCCGGTCAAAATGGGAGTGAAAAGGGGGATGAAGGAGATACTCAAACAGATGAGGGAGGAAATAAGGGAAAGGTTAAGGGGAGTTAAGAAAGAAATAAGAGAAGTAGCTGAGAGTCAAAAGAAGATGATGAGAAAAGAAGTTGAGAGGATGAAAGAGGAGTTGAAGAAGGAGGAGGAAAAATAGAAGAAGTAAAAGGAGGAGATGGTGGATAAAGATGTTGGAAAGTGAAATGGATAAAGTGAAGCTAGGAGTAGGAGAGTGGAAGGTGGAAGGGATAAAAAGAGAGACGGTGGCGAGATAGGACGTGGAGAAGAGATTGAAAGATGCATGGAAAGGGTAAGTAGATTGGTGAGAAGGAGTAAACGAAGGAGAGAGAGGAAAGAAAAAAAAATTATCATAAAAGGGTTAAATGTAGGAGAAGAGGACATAGAGGAGAAGATTAAAGGAATAATGAGAAGAATAAAAGTGGTGGTGAAGATAGAGAAGATAAGATAGATAGAGACGGGTAGTCAGGAGAGGGGGTGGATGGTGGTAACGTTGTGGAGTTTAGAAGATAGTGGAAATATAATAAGAAATAAATGAAAGCTTTTGGACGGCGAAGGGGGTAAGGCAGGGATGTCCGCTGAGTCTCTTGTTATTTAATATACTGACGGCAGACCTAGAGGAAGAGATGGGAAAAGTTAAATGAGGGGGAGTGGAGCTAGGAGATAAGAAGGTGTATAGTTTGACCTACGCAGATGATATGATATTACTGGTGGAGGATGAAGAGTATGAGGAGTATGATGGAGAGGCTAGAGGGGTATATTGAAAGGAAGGGCTTGGAGCTAAATAGGATAAAACAAAAATAATGAGATTCAGGAATGGAGGGGGCAGGAGCAGTAAGGTGGACTGAAGATAGAAGGTTAAGGTGATAGAAGAGGTAAAGAAATTAAAATATCTGTATGTTGCAAAGGAATGGAAGGCAGGAGGAGCACGTAAAGTAAAGGGTAGTGAAGGCGGTGACAGTAATGGAACAGGTTTGGAGGATTGGGAAAAAGAGATTCGGCAATGATTGGAAGAAAAGGATATGATTACTTGACGCGTTGATATGGGCGATGATGAGTTATGGGTGGAAATCTGGTGCTGGAAAGAGAAGGAAGGGGTGGAGAAGTTACAGGAGAGATATTTAAGGTGGGTGTTAGGAGTGGAAGGAAGGACGCTAAGCTATATGATAAGGAAGCGAATGCAAATGGAAAAATTAAGAGGTAGGGCGGGAAAAAGGGCTTGGGCATTTGAGAAGAGATAAGGAGGGAGGGGATAGTTTTTTGGCGCAATTATGTTTGGAGGAGATAAATAAGGAGTAATATAAGTAAAGGGAGAAAGTTAGAAGGTCGGGAGAGAGAAAGGGAACAATATTTCGAGGACAGAGGATTAGGGTTGAAAAGCTGGCAAAGGATGGAAATGGAGGAAGGAATTAAGTTTGAGGAGCTGTAAAAATAGGATAGGGAAATATGGAAGGAGGAAATATAGGAAAATATAAGGAAAGCGAAGTATAGTAAGTGGAATGGATGAATAAAGGTAGAGAGGATTCCGGCATATTTAAAAAGAGCCTCAGTGGGACGGCTATTTATGTCTCGAAGGGAGGCTGTAAGGTCAGACAATGAAGAAAAGAAAAACAGTTTACGCCTTTTACGCGAAGTCGTTATCAGGGAACTATCCAAAAAGGAGTTACTAAAGAGATCCAAGGTGGACCTTGATAAATTTGTGGAGAAGGTAGAGGGTCAACCTAGCGAGGATATACAAAAGAAAACGAAGGAATATTTGTATGAAATAATACAGATTACAAAAACATTCTCCAATTTGAAGGGTACTTACCAAAAGACCCTCAAGCTGGCCACGGCGGCTACAATGGAATGCCTTCAAGTCATCTATGATAGAGCGGGAAGATCCCTGGCGGACTTTTCAAGGGGAAATCTCCATGTTAAAGAGGGAGATAACTATGATCAAGATTAGGCAAAACAAGGAATTGGAGGAAGAGAAGACCAGAACAAAAGTCGCTGAAGAGAAGGCGGAGAAACTTGCTTTCAGGGAGCAGGAGTTACAAGCTCTCAGGAAGGAGATAGAGGAAATAAAAACGGGAACCAGCTCCAGGAACATCATCGCCGCAACACCACTCAAGGGCACAGCATCAACTTCCAAGGACATGGTAAAGGACATAAAACAGGAGAAGAGACAAGGAAAGAAGGACGAGAAAGAGAACAAGAGAAAATCCTCCGACCGAGACCGCAAGGAAAGAAGAACAACTACGTCAGTGATATGACAGGTAGCACATCTGAAGATGATAAAATGGATGTAAGCGAGGAGGAACCACCAAAGGTGGTCCTACCCTCCCAGGGAAGAATTGATCCCTGCGATCAGACCTGCGATCAAGGGGAAGGTACATATTCTGGAGGACAGAATTCTACCTGAAAGTCAGAAATACAACGTGACCAAGACGACGTGTGGACCCCCTCTGATGCCGAGGGACAAATCGACAAGCAAACTAACGAAGGAAATAAGGACAGACGATCCGGTTGGATAAGGAAACAGACCAACGGAAATTAAAGAAATAATCCGGAAGGTCCTACGGGAGGAACTCAAGGAGTTGACAGAGGCTCCCTCTCTGGCTCCACGAGCATTAGCCAGTGGTGGCCACGAGGTTCACTCCGACGGAAAAAGAGAGGGTAGTTCTTCTAGGAGAGAGGGAAAGAAAAAGTTGGGAAAGACAAAGTCCGGGGTGATCCCGATTGACCACGGCTCAATTGGACACCACCAATCACAGCGACTAGTGCTTAGGAGCTTTGTAGTCTCAAGCGCTGTGAGTGGTTCGTGACCAATGGAGCCGTGTCCAACTGGGTGCCACCCCAAAGTTCCCCCCGCCAAACCAACGGAACGTGAGTGATGGCACGCAGAAGATGGCCAATCCACCGGTTGCGGAAAAATGGATTCGTGACCAATTGAGCCGTGTCCAACTGGGTGCCACCCCAAAGTTCCCCCCGCCAAACCAACGGAACGTGAGTGATGGCACGCAGAAGATGGCCAATCCACCGGTTGCGGAAAAATGGTCCGAGGTGGGGAGAAAGGTCAGGCACGTGCAGAAAAAGGCCGAGGTGGTCAAGAGAAACAACGCAAAGGAAGGAAGCAAGGGTACACCGAAGAGTCAAACCCTTACCAACAAAAATGTACAAAAAGGCAGGAGACCACCACGAACAGCCGCGGTGCAGATTAGCTGTAAAGGAGAGGCGTCGAAAGTGCTGAAAATGGCAAAAGAGCGCATCAATATCGACGAGTTGGGCATTAAGGAGATAAGACCCACAAGAGCTCGTACCGGAGCGTTTCTGCTCGAGATCTCGGGAGCGGGGGGCGGGGCGAACAAAGCTAACTCGCTCGCCGAGAAACTGCAAGAGATTGTGGAATCGGAATGCCTCGAAATCAGGCAAGACGTACTCATATCCAGACCGGAGAAAATGGCAGATACGAATAAAAGATCTAGAGGACTCCACCACAAAGGAAGAGATCATTAAATGGTTCGCGGAAACTGGTAGCTGTGACATCACGGACATTAAAACTGGGGAGTTTACTAAAGCCCCGAATGGTCTGGGTACGATATGGGTAAGATGCCCCTTACTCACGGCCAATAGGACGACGAAGAAGCCTAGAGTTAGGCTAGGCTGGATGACCGTGAGTATAGAGCTCCTAAAGGAAAGGAAACAGCAGTGCTTCCGCTGCCTGGAAACAGGGCATATCAAAGCGGAATGCACAAGTAAGGAGGACCACAGTAACAAGTGTTACAGTTGTGGAATAATAGGCCATATAGCACGGTGGTGCAAACAGGATGTACATTGAATGATATGCTCGGACTTGGGGCGGGCGGCCAATCACAGGCTGGGGGGCCCAGCGTGTAACCCTCCCCCTAAACCGAAAAGAGGACAGGGAATGTGTGACAACGATCTCGGTACCAAAAGATGCAAAGGCACAGCCCGTGACCGGAGCCGGAGCAAATGCTAAGGGCACCGAAAAGTGATCCAGCACGGGAAAGGACACGACGAGTATACCCAAGGTAGGCCGACAGCTGATTGCATCGACCACGCACGAGGAGGTTATGGAGGTGGATGTGCAGCCTCTCCCGGACACGCAGCCCATAGAGGAATAGGAGGACGCGCAGTCTCTTCAGGATACGCAGCCGATGGAGGATGATAAAACCGTCGCCGTCACCAACCAAGGGAAACTATCGAGCAAGACAGTAACAGCGAAATCCATCGGCTCCCCCGATCCATGGCTGGAAGGCACCGCCACGGAGGAAGGCGGATGGACCAGTTGGAGTAATGCTCAATAAGATACTCCAAGCGAATATTAACCATGCCCACCGTGCACAGGACTTCTTGCTGCAGACAATGGCGGAGCATGGATACGGGATCACGGTGGTTTTGGAACCCTATCGAGTTCCGGCGGACCATCCGCATTGGACGGTGAACAAAAACGGAACCGTAGCGATTACGTGGAGACAAGTGGAGAACCCACTCCCATGTACGCTGCTGGAAGAGGGTGAGGTCTACGTGACGGTTAAATGGGGAGATATGATCATTATAGGCGTTTAAAATGCCTATTACGGTCGAAGCTGGATCTTCGTTGCTTAAATAATTAAATCTTAAATTACTAATATATACTATATATGTACTTGCATATATACCATATTGTAGTCTTTTTCAAACTGCGCGCCGAATTATTTTTCCGGACTAAATAAACGCAATTAAAACTACTCTAGTAATCGACTTGCTTGATGGTAGCATCAAATTATTAAATTGCTTTTCAATTTAATTCACGATTACTAGAGTAGTTTTAATTGCGTTTATTTAGTCCGGAAAAATAATTCGGCGCCCAGTTTGTGTGTGTGAAAAAACTACAATATGGTATATATGCAAGTACATATATAAAGTATATATTAGTAATTCAAGATTGAATTATTTAAGCAACGAAGATCCAGCTACGATCGTAATAGACATTTTAAATCTCTATATTAGGTGTACAATTTTGCTCCCGCCGTTTTCCTATAGATGGCTTTAGCGGTAAGTGGTGGTCGAAATAAATAGATCATAGACGTCATACAATAAATTTGGGCATCTGTCAACATAACCCCATAGAAACATTAATCGATTTGTGTCTGCATCATAAAGTTATTCTCGATTGAAAATGTCAGTTTACAAGATATTTCAGTTCGCTTCCCACGAATAAAATATAAATATAAATAGCCATCGGACTTAGAAATTTCTCGATTACCTATCAAATATGTCATAAGTCTGATGTTGAAAAATTTTTTGAGAATTCTAGTAGTTCTGATTATCGTTTTGGGCAATTCTCGACGAGTTTTATCGAAAAGTATGAGTTGACAAAGCGATTGGACCAACGGTTTGAGAAATATGACATATTTGATAGGTAGTCGAAAATCTTCTAAGTCCGATGTTGAAAAATTTTTTGAGAGTTCCAGTAGTTCTGATTATCGTTTTCGGCAGTTCTCGACGAGTTCTATCGAAAAGTATCAGGTGACAATGCGATTGGACTAACGATATTCAAGATACGCGAAATTAAAGTAATCGAAAAATGTTTTTTTTTTTAATTTTTTTGTGTGTCAAAATTGTTTTTTATGTGTTAGGAACTCTAGATATTCACAAAATAAATCTATTAAGCTGTTCAGAACTGTTCGATCTCGAATTTCTCTGTGAAGTTAGCACCCCAATTAAAAAAAATTATTTAAAAATTGTTATTAACTGAATCTTGCATTAAAAATACGGTGGACTCTTCGTCTCGTTAAAAGGAAGCAGGAATTCTAATCAGAACTATTGTATCTAAAAATTAATTTAAAAAAAATTTTTAATACTTTTTAGATTTTTCAAAATTTTTCTTTATGCATCAGGAACTCTAGGTATTCACTAAATGAAGCTATTGAGCCGCTCAGAACTATTCGATCTCGAATTTCGATAAGAAATTAGCACCCCATTTTTTAAAAATTATTTAAACATAATTATCAAGCGGAACTCTTGTTATAAATTATAGAGAACTCTTCGTCTCGACGAAAGGAAACGGCAACTCTAATCAGAACTATGGAATTTCAATATTGGAGTGCTAACTTAACATACACCAATTTGCAGATATGTTGAGCACTTCTTGCAATTTTGATAACTCATTTTTTAATTGGAAATGACGCAATTTTTTATAAATTGAGTTGTCAAAGTTAAACCACTTATTTAAATAGTTGATGGCTTTATCGTAAACGCGCAGTGCTTCTTTTTCAAATTTCTTGCCCTCTGAAGGCAAAAGATTTAGAAGACTTTGGTTTACTTTGAAACCAAAAAATTTTAGTAATTTTTCGGAACGTTAAATGATTTTTCAAATTGTACATTACGTCGTACACATGTGTAGCATCCAACGAGGTTTTCTCTAGCGATTTGATGGTGTTATGAAAGATAAATAAAACACGATGGACAAAATATATTTAACATTCTGTCAATGTTAGTTGTACATTATTTCATTAGTTTGATTTTTAATGAATAGCCAGATAATGAGACTGCAATCCTCTCCGCCTAAAATAAGAGATCAAATTGAATATGTGGAGAGAGGGGGGGTAAAGGGAGAGGGGGGGAGAGAGAGAGAGAGAGAGAGAGAGACAGAGAGAGAGAGAGAGAGAGAGAGGGGAGAGTATAATTGATAAATGCATTGATTGTATATATTCTTTGTAAAAAGTACTCCTTAATTAAGCAACAGTCAGCATTCCGGTTAAGCAACAGTCGATCCACAACAAAATATAGACTGGTCCAATGAACGGGTATATGTTGAAATACTTCATGAAGTTCTTGCACAACAAACTTGAAACAAGACTTCAAGTGTTATATTTTTTGCTACTAGTTGTAAATTCACTAAATACTTTTAAAACAAGCACTTTCTGATAAAAAAAATCTGATGGAAATTTACAAGAAACGATTAAATTCTTATACAATTTTATCGATATATAAGTCTATCGTAGGTATTTTTGAAGTTAGATATAATTGCTACCGTTTTGAATCCATTTTTATAATATCTGGTTTTAATCGTTCTAGATCAAGAGAAATTCTTTAGGTACGTATCGTATTAATACACATATTCGTTGCTTATATGGCTTCGACGATAGAAAATCACTTGGGATTTATTTGACACTTTACACGAACATCTTCTATCAGATTCTATGTAAAATATGTGATAGAAATTTTATCAGTTCCTATGAGTAATTCACATATTCGTTGCTTATATGACTTTGACGATAGAAAATCACTCGGGACTTATTAGATATACAACTTTGCTTCCGCCGTTTTTTTTCCGAAATTCGAGGGTTTATTGTAAAAAATTGTTTATACATTTATGATTCAAAGTATAGTCCATCGCTGGCCACTACTTTCTGCCATCTTTCGAACAGCGTACGAATCCCGCGTCGAAAAAATTGGTCATCTTTTGAGACGATCCACGAATCCACCCAATTTTTTTACTTCTTCATATGACCGGATGTGCTGGTCAGCCAGGCCGTGTGCCATTGATCGAAACAAGTGATAGTCAGAGGAAGCAACGTCTGGAGAATACGGCGGGTGGGGTAGGACTTCCCATTTCAACGTTTCCAAGTATCTCTTGACCACTTTCGCAACATGGGGTCGAGCATTGTCATGCTGCAAAATCACTTTATCGTGTCTCTCGTTGTATTGTGGCCGTTTATCTTTCAATGCTCGGCTCAAACGCATCAATTGCGTTCGATACCGATCGCCTGTGATTGTTTCAGTCGATTTTGACAGCTCATAATACACTACGCCGAGCTAGTCCCACCAAATACAGAGCATGACCTTGGAGCCGTGAATATTCGGTTTGGCCGTCGACGTGGAAGCATGGCCGGGAACTCCCCATGATTTTCTGCGGTTGGGGTTATCGTAATGAACCCATTTTTCGTCCCCAGTCACAATGCGATGCAGAAGTCCCTTCCGTCTTTGCCTTTCAAGCAGCTGTTCCGTCTTTGCCTTACAAGCAAACAAACACCGTTCAATATCTCTCGGCTTCAACTCGTACGGCACCCAATTTCCTTGCTTCTGAATCATTCGCATGGCTTTGAGGCGTTTTGGAATGGCTTGTTGAGTCACTCCCAATGACGTGCCAATTCTTCTTGATTTTAACACGAGTCTTGATCAAGTAATGCCTCCAATTCTGCATCTTCGATAACCTCTCTTCCACCGCTATGCTGGTTTTCGATGTCAAAATCACCGTTCTTGAAGCGTTGAAACCACTCGTGACACGTTCTTTCACTAATAGCGGCCTCACCATAAGTATTTGAGAGCATTCGATGAGCCTCAGCCGCAGATTTCTTCATATTAAAGCAGAAAATTAAAACCTCCCGCAAATGACGAGAATTTGGCTCGTAAACTGACATTTTCAATCGAGAATAACTTTATGATGCAGACACAAATCGACTAATGTTTCTATGGGGTTATGTTGACAGATGCCCAAGTTTATTGTATGACGTCTATGTTCTATTTATTTCGACCACCACTTATCGCTAATGTTATCCATAGGAAAACGGCGGAAGCAAAATTGTACACCTAATATTCGACATTTTACATAAACATTTCCTATGAGAAATTCACATATTTGTTGTTTATATGGGTTTGACGATAAAAAATCTTTCGGAACTTATTTGATAATTTACATAAAGGTTTTCTGTCTGATGTAATATGAAAGACACGATAGAAGACTTATCAGTATGTCGTCTATTTTTAATAAGTTATAGATGTAGTCGTCATTTATATAGAATTAAAGACAAAAATGTTAGAGGACATACT